ATATATATATATATATGAAACAAATATATATATATATGAAACAAATATAGGCCTAGCCCTATAACACAGTGGTTAAGCACTGCATAGAGGGAGCCAGATTTCTACATGGCTGATTGACTTACTGCATTTTGAATCGCTGCCCCAGCAGCTTTGAAAACACTCTGGGTGTGTGTATGTGCACTTATGCCCAGGATCCTGATGGGAGAATGGAGGAAATGTAATTGCAGCATGACATGCCCCCATGGGGGGAGTGCTTTTCTCTTTCTGGCATATAATGATGATATGCCCTCTGGCATTAAGTACAACAACAAAAGCAAGGTAAACTAAAGTTACTGACTTTCCAATGATTTTCTTTCTGTTGGGTTCACTGATTGGTGCATGTTTTAAATCAATAGAAGTTTAATGAATAATGTATGGAAAGAACACTGCTTATTTAGAGCAGAAACTGGGACTCTGCCAGGGACTATCACATGCAGATGATTGATAAATTCTTGTTGAACTACTAACCAGTTTAACTAAGAGGTGGGAATATGAATTCCATTTCTGACTTTGCTGTGTATCTCTGTGTGACTGTAAATATTCAACTTCTTGACTATTGTAAAAAGTGAAATATAATACTTTTTGGCTAGAAAATCACTTCTTTTATATATATATATCATAAAGATGATTTATTACATTTCACTACTGGAAAGCATTCCTGAGATTGCATAAATATAAACAGGTATAAGTTGTTATCAAGGTTTCAAGAAATATCAGTATTGGGACCAGCAGTTAGCATAATGGCTATGTCGCTGGACTCCCATGTCGACCACGGTTCGAGTCCCGGACCAGGTGGCTTAAACTCTCGCTGGGCGTGTGTGCGTGTGTGCGTGTGTGCCCAAGATCCCGAGAGGAGAACAGAGGAGAAGGGATTGCAGCGTGGCCATCCCCTCTGGGGGGTGATTTCTCGCTCTCTATCTCTCTGTCTCTGTCTGTCTGATGAGCGCACACGCCCTATAGCAAAAACCTCTCAAAAAAAAGTTTAAAAAAAAAAAGAAATATCAGTATTTCACAGAATGTAATTCTAACATGTCATTAGTTTTAAAGAAAATTATCCTTCAAAAAAAATGCATATAGGGCCACAATTCAGCTTCCCAGACTAAAAGGGTTTTTCTATAATATTCTAAGAAATAACACTTTAAAGGAAGGAGAAGTATGGATGGGATGGAGATAGATTCAAGAAATGTGAACAAATGATTTCCAAAAGCCTTCCATTTTCTTCTGAAATATAAATTCATGCACAATATCCTAATAATAGTAAGTCCCTATTGATATTTTCTCTAAATGAAATCCAACTGGAGACATATTTATCCAAGTGTGCTTGGCAACTCCACAGCTGAGATTATGAAATGAGCACAAAGACTATGTCCTCTTGTCACTAAATTCCAAACACTGGAATAAATAACCTGATTTATTTCTAGTGCAAGAGTTGCACTTTTATCTTATTTCCAGCCTAGAAAGAATAGCCCAGATAAGATAAGATACCTGACTTTTCCTCTTGAGTCTTCTTTTTTAGCAGTGCAGGAAAAAGTAACACTCGATCTGAAGGCCAAAACCTCCTCTTGGGGTATCTACCAAAGCTAGTATAATAAAAAACCAGCTTACCACCCACTTTTCACTCTAGTTTACTATTAACTTTTTTTGGTAGAGAATGTGTACACTCGTTGGGGGTGGGGGGGAAAGAGAGAAAGTGTTCTCATTCTGGAGGATGATCACACTGCAATCCCCTCTCCTCTATTTCTCCTGTTGGGATTTTGAGCCTGCACACACGTGCCCAATGTGTTTTTGAAGCCACTGGGTCCAGGACTTGAAATCTCATTTAGTCCCATGGGATTCAACTACTTTAACCACTATCCCACTTTTAACTTTTAAAATTTACTGAGTTTGTCCCTCTCCTGTTTTCCCTCCTTCCACTTTCTATTTTCTCTAAGGCACTCCCTCTTAGGAATACCCCCCACATTTTACTTACATATTTTATTAATTTTCTTTATAAACAAATCATTGGTCCTCTATTGGCACCATTTGGACATCTAACAAAGAAGTTAAGTACCAAAGGGTTGGGAATTTGAAAATGTTTTATTTCCTGTGGTTAGACCAGCTGGAAACTACAAATGGTTATAGTAATAGATACCCAGTGCTCACTTTTAGAATTTTTGGAAATACCAAATCTACTAGTTCCCTCTCTACCTACCACTAATTCAAGGAGGTTCTTTTGGTAGCTATAGAATGGAGTGTTAGTGGGGCCAGCAGTTAGCGTAATGGCTATATTGCTGGACTCCCATGTTATCGACCGCAGTCTGAGTCCCAGTCCCGGTCACTTAAAACTCACGCTGGGCATGTGTGCGTGTGTGCCCAAGATCCCGAGAGGAGAATGAAGGAGAAGGGGTTGCAGTGTGGCCATCACCCCTGGGGGGTAATTTCTCACTTTCTGTCTCTATGTTTCTCTCTGTCTGTCTGGCAAGTGCACATGCCCTATGGCAAAAACCTCTCCAAAAAAATAAAAAAAAGAATGAAGTGTTAATGAATTTCTACATGACAAGAAAATAAAAAAACTGTCTCCATAAACGTATGAATTTTTATTTTTAAAAAATTTTTGGTGAGAGAGCATTTGAAAAGTTTGTACTTAAGAGAAACCATTAGTAAATTGAACTTCCTTCATTTTAAGGACTTCTAATCCAACAAAAATTTTTTTAAAAAACTTGAAAATCACAAGCTACTGACTTGCAATAAATGTACACAACATATAAAACTAATTATTAATCAGAATACAAAAGGAATTTCAAACAAATCAATTTATAAGAATCTCAGTTGAGGAGCCCGACAGTGAGGCAGCAAGAACATAACTGCATTCAATGGGAAGGTACCAGGTTCTGTCTTCCAAGGGCTCTCTGTACATGCTGGCCACACACGTATACCTGTGATCTGAGCTGACCGAGGCTGGGGATAGATTGTGACATTAACACCCTGTTTGGAGTGCCCCTCTTTTTCTCTCTTAAATTCTCTGTCTCTCATATGGAAGAAATGGGTAAATAAACTTTAAAAAAGTTCAGTTGAATATGAGAAAAGCCTTAGATATTACACATAAGAAGAAACACAATTACAGAGAATTTCAAAAAGTTTGTGGAAAAAATGGAATTAAAATACAAGTTTATTTTGGTGCAAAAAAATTTTTAAATCCATTTATGATTTTTTGTATGATATGCAATTTACATAAACTTTTTGAAAACCTCTCATGTAAGCA